TACTGGTAAACGATTATTGTTTTTACCGCATAATTTTGGTTTAAAACAAGTGTTTTATCTATTTATACTTTAGTGAAAACATTGCCTGTTAATTACAACTAATATTTTTGTTTATAAATGGATTTTTTTTACAGTTGCCTCCAAAGTTTTCCATTAAATATGGTAGTGTCCTTTAATACTTGCTACTTAGTACAAATAAAAGTGGGGAGAATGACATAGGAGAAACTGTTACTAAAATATGTCTGCATATTTTTTTTAAATGTTGAGGTCCTGTTTGTAAATGTTTAGGAGCAATTGTGAACCTGAGTGGTTTTGTCCTTTACAGTCTTGTACTATACATTTGCTGAGGTGTCTAGTAACCTATTTGCAGCAGTTGATCATAGTTCGTAATAAAGCTAGTTTTTTACCTTTCCGTTTACAAATTGCACAGATGTAGAGTTGCTGCACGCTTATGACCTAAATAAGAAAAGTGAGTGAAATGGGAGTGGAGGGAACAAGCTCATAATCTGTGAACCTCACACAGCTCCCATTAGGTTGTGATTTACAACTGCAGTTTTCTTAAGACCGCTGAATCTGACCCTTTCTACTGACAGTGTTTTAGAATTTAATTTCATAATTTCTTTTTTTCTCCATAGTGCAGGATAGTTCTAGTGTGTCACATCAGGTGCATTATGTTTCTTTAGTTTCTTTGGAAGTATCAGGTACTAGCCTTTGCTGAAGAAAGGTTACCACCATGCTAAATAGAATTTACTAGATACTCAGTGGTCATCTTTACAATTTAATATGATTCCCAGGAAGGACATCTGATGATATTTAAGAGACTTCCAACGAAGGATTTTCCCATTAATAGGTTCTGCACAAATAGAGAGCAAGAATGAAGGAGCTAATTAAAATGAAGACTTGCTTAACTTTTTGTTTTTAAATGTTTTGCTTGTTTTCCCTCTTGTTCTTTACTTTGCATCCATGTTTTATAAATATGAAAAGTTATTTTTGTTTGGTGGTATTCAACCACCTTGCCAACCCAAATAACTGTCAATGTATCCATTATAAAATAAACAAATATGGTAAGATAAATATTATAATGTTGTAAAAGCCTTGTGGAATCCTCACAACAAACACCCCCTTTTAACACCAGGAAGATATCAAAACCACCCTTTGATGACATCAGCAAGAAATAAAGATGAGGACAGAGAAGAGAGAGAAATTCAGATGACTTATGAAAGTCCCAGCCCTAAGCTACAAAGATGCTCAAATTATGGTACCATTTGCCTTCTGCTTTCCTCTTCTATGAAACATATTTACACCTTCCTGGAAATCCTAATTCTGTGATGTATTGAGTCCTTCAACTGAAACCAGGGTGTACTGATGGCTCTCAGTACTTCACAAGGTGGGTTTGCACTGTTGCTCCATGGCCTTGGTTCTGGAAAACGTTTTAGCCATCTGTCTAAACATTACACTTCCTTAAAAACTCAGCCTCCTATTGTAAAATTAATATATTTGTGTGTTCTAATTCATAATGAAGCAATATGTTAAAGGATTTATGAGGAGCAGAGACTTATAGACTAAAGCCAGAAGGAGCCATCATAGAATCGTGGGATGGGAAGGGAGCTTGAGAGGTGTTCTAGTCCAGTCCCCAGCATGATCATGATCACCTAGTCTGGCCTCCTGCTTGTTGCAGGCTACAGAACCTCACCCACCTATTCTTGTAGTAGGTCTGTAACCTCTTGCTGAGTTACTGAAGTCCTCAGGTCTTGATTTAGAGACTGCAAGTTGCAGTGAATCCATTGTTTATGCTAGTTCAAACCAGCAAGTGACCTGTGCGTCGTGCTGCAGAGGAATGCAAAAATCCCCCAGGGTCTCTGTCATTCTGATCTGGGGGAAAATTCTTTGCAGTCCCCAAATATGACGATTAGTTAGACCCTGAGCATGTAGGCAAGCCGCACCAGCCAGACACTTGGGAAAGAATATATTAACTCATCGCTCTCTCCCGATAGTGTCCCATGTCTGGCCATTGGAGATTTCTATTACATTTCTATTACTCCTGTTTTCAAGGTCATCTAAATATTCTTGTATGATATTCTGGTCCTTATCTGTATTGGCAATACCTCCCAACTTTGTGTCATCCACAAATGGTATTCGTGAACAGCCACTTTTTGAGCCAATATCATTAATGAAAATGTGAAATAAGATTGGTCACAAGATGGATCCTGGAGGAGTTCTGCTAGTAACCTTCCTCCAGCCTGACAGTTCACCTTTCAGCATGATTCATCGTAGTTTCCCCTATCACCAGTTTTTTTTATCCATCTCTTGATTCTCATATTAATCCCCACCTTCTCCAATTTAACTAATAATTTTCCATGTGGAATGGTACCAAATGTCATACTGAAATCCAGGTATGTTACATCTACTGCAATTCCTTTGTCTAGAAAATTGGTTATCTTCTCAAGGAAGATCACGTTGGTCTGGCATGATCTACCTTTTGTAATACCATGTTGTATTTTATCTTTAATGTCCTTAACTACTTTCTCTTTCAAAATTTGTTCTAAGACCTTGCATTCTATTGAGGTCAAACTAACGGGCCTGTAGTTTCCCAGATCACCTTTTTTCCCCTTTCTAAAGTATAAGTACATACTGTTGGAGACTGAAGAAGACCACTTTGAACATTTACCTCTGGAGGATGGATCATGAAGATGTATCAAATAAAGTGAGTTCATATATAGATAATCATTATTATCATGTTTCAGAGGAACAGCCGTGTTAGTCTGTATTCGCAAAAAGAAAAGGAGTACTTGTGGCACCTTAGAGACTAACCAATTTATTTGAGCATGAGCTTTCGTGAGCTACAGCTCACTTCATCAGATGTTTACCGTGGAAACTGCTATTATTATTATCATGTTATCTAATTATACTATTGGTACATTTAATGGAACTTATTTTTAAATGGGCCTTAAAACGGCTTCTAATGTTGAACCTGCAGTCAACTATGGATGCAAATGATAGATATGCTAGTGCAATCAAGTAGCCAGATAGCCACATATTTTCATTTGCACCTGCAACTGGTTGTGGTTGCAAAATAAGTGGCAGGTTTTAAAATTTAGTCCACTATGTTTTAAAATTTTAAATAGTAATATTAAAATGTGTTACTCTTAAACTTTTTTTTTAAATGGACAGATCGTAATTTTTGAGTCATTCAGATTTTGTTATTCCATGATACAAAAAGAGCATGCTTTCCAGCCTTTGCTTTTAGAGAATCCATTTGTTTTGCTTTAAATGTGTGCACATTGTTTATAGTTTGTCTAAATGTTTCTTTATTCATATGCTTGTTTGTCTGGCTCAGACCCTCAGTAAAGTCAAGAGAGATTGCTCAGCATTACTCAGGACCTGAGAAGCTCTCTAGCTATATCCCACATATTTGTTGTTTTTGTCCTCAAGTTTACGCACATGCTGGTAATATTATGTAATTTATTGTAAAGGGGGAAAATTTGTTGTTTTCTGAACCCCTCAGATGTAATAAATATCTTTTGGTAAGGGGGCATTAATCTTGTAAAGGGCAGACTAGTAACACTGTATAATTTAAATGAGAAACACATAATGTGTCTCTGTCTCGTTTAAAGAAAAGGAGTACTTGTGGCACCTTAGAGACTAACCAATTTATTTGAGCATGAGCTTTCGTGAGCTACAGCTCACTTCATCGGATGCATACCGTGGAAACTGCAGCAGACTTTATATACACACAGAGAATATGACACATAAAGTCTGCTGCAGTTTCCACGGTATGCATCCGATGAAGTGAGCTGTAGCTCACGAAAGCTCATGCTCAAATAAATTGGTTAGTCTCTAAGGTGCCACAAGTACTCCTTTTCTTTTTGCGAATACAGACTAACACGGCTGTTACTCTGAAACCTGTCTCGTTTAAGTGATATGAAAATGTTATATGTGTTCAATGGGTAGGTGTCTTGTGCCTGCAATAAAGCTTTCTCGAGTACTTTCCCCAGATGACCTCTAAAGAACAAAAGCTTGCAGGAAACATCAAAACTGATCATTTCACAATTGCACAATTCCTGTCTTGCTAATGGAAGCTAGAATGGAATTGCAGTCTATGGGAACAGTATGTCATCCTGTTTATTCTGTTGTATAAAGCCACTGCACCTACATTATGGTCTCTCCAGCTGGGTTTGTTAAATAAAAAGGATATGCATTCAGTTCAGCAAATTTCTTGTATTCTGCATTCATTGCTTTTTCCTCTTTTTGAAGTTTATTTTGATGTAATAGGTTATGATTTTATATTTCTAGGAGGCGGAAGTGAGCTACTTTGTGGTGTGGAATGGGAGCCCTTCTGTGAAACATGAAAGCTCTGGCTGATATTGAGTGGCCCAATTCTCTATTCAGCTCTGGTAATCCTGTTGAAGGGGACATGGGTAGGCTGAGAGGACTTCTTTGGCTCAAGTAATAGCCATCCTCTGTTTTCCACTTTGTCCTTTTCCTCTGACTTAAAAAAATACTTCTGAATGGACACCATTTTTTTGCCCTTGGAATGCAGCAGATTATTCCCAATGGCATGGTTATTTTTAAAGAAAGAAAAAAATGTCACTGGAGGAGTCCTAGACCAATTATTGCATGTGAATACTTGGTAAATCCCTGTGGAAGAGCTTGACACAAATAAAATAGAACATCAGGATTTCTATCCATTGGAAAAGCTGGATGAAAGTAGAAAAGGCACACTTTTGAGATGTATCTTGACAACTATTAGATATGTCATCTAGCGCTTTGTGTGGGTGGGGTGAAGTTCTTAGTCAACTTGTCTGAAACAAATGCATCTCTGCATTCTGAACTGTTACGATATTCATAGAATCATAGAATATCAGGGTTGGAAGGGACCTCAGGAGGTCATCTAGTCCAACCCCCTGCTCAAAGCAAGACCAATCCCCAATTTAAATCAATATTATTTGAATATTTAAATATTATATTATTGTGGGAGACAGCTGGATTTGTCTTGGCTCACACACCATGAAGAGAGTGATTACCTAAGTGACGCGTGCTCCCCTGTGTGCAGGGGCCATTTGCACCTGCAGAAGTGGGGTATTCTGCTTCTGCAGCATGCTTCTCTCTCTCTCTCCTACCCCACAGAAGCCCCTCTGCAATGGCTCTATAAAGGGTATGGGTGAAGGGTTCCTGTGGATTCTCCCCTGCCCATACACATGGGAGAAGGCAACATCAATTAATACAGTCCAAACATGTTTGAGCTGTTTCCCTCCTGTGATGTGGAGCTCCTTTATAGGAGAGCTCCAGAGACAGTCCCTGTAGAAAGCATGTTTCCAGGGCCAAGCAGCAAAGTGGAAGCAATGAACAGCAGTGTAGATGTGTCCCTTGCCCTTTGAGGATCTTTCAGGATCTGTGGCCCAATGGGATGAAATATTCAATTTATTTCAGGGAGTAGGGGAGGGCAGAACTACATTCACCTTTTTCCCCTCTCTATAAAATAACAAGAAGGAAACTCCATGAGCTGTAACTTCCAAAGTTTCCTGCTGCATGTTTGGATTATTTCCATGTTGGAACTGAGACTTCAATTCCAATTTCAGAATCTCGGTTGAGGCATAAGCCAGCAAGTACACAGTTTTACTTGGAAATCGCAGGCTAAAGTTAGGGAAAACATTGCTTTACTTGTAAAGGGAGCAGATTTGATTTGTAGCCTTTGAGAGGCAGTAAGCATGGAACCCCGAGATGCCATTTGTACAGAGTGTAAGGGGCACGTTATTAAATCTTTAGAAGCAAAAACGTTCATAATTACAAGTATCTTTGCATTTCTGTATGCAGCTTTCTAACATGCATTGTTCAAATGGGAATGGGGTTTTAACTGTTTATTCCCTTATTCCCGTTTATTTCTCTTGCTGATTGTAAAACATTGGGGAAAAAAGTGTAGAAAAAGTTGGAACATTTTCCACCCGCTTTGAGAACTGCAAGCAGAAAGAGTACAGCGTGTGAGAATTTAGACAGTTAGCATTACTATAAATAGATCCACAGTACAGTATGCCTCAGATTTTATCAAAAGTAGCAAGCACTACGTACTGAGAATGGAATTTTGGTTTGTTTGCCTAAAACCACTCTTTCCAACACGCTAATCTGCAAAGAAAACGTTATTTTCAGTAATGTGGGTGTGCAATTTTCACCTGCAAGGAACTTCCCCTTTCTTCAAAGGGGCTGAATAAATGTTTTTGAGAACGTGCCTCCTGCAGTTGGCTTGTATTTTTCACTTGGGTGGCCGAGCGCTTCATTAAGTAGAAAGTGGTTGTAATGAGTCATTTTGTGACTTTTAGTGTCCTTGATGTCAAACTTTGGACTAGGAAAATGGAGAGCCTAGATCTGTTGAGGAATTGTTTGGTGTGCAAATGGGAACTAAAGAGAAGAGATCCCAGACTGCTGCCTTGTCTTCACTCCTTTTGTAAGGACTGTCTTCCAGATTTGATTCAAGGATACAATTACACTCCCACTGAACGTGAAGTTATGTATGAAGGTAACATTTCATGAACTATTTTGTACTTCTTAGGCACTTTATAATGCAATATTGGAATAGGCCGATTGAGAAGCACTTTTTTACACAATTATTCTTTAAAATATGTTGTAAAGGAATTACTAGGAGACTTAAAATTAGAAATGAGAAAGAGATGGGTGGGGTACCTTCTCCCCTAAATGAACTTTTATTGGGAAAAACAAATCTATTAGAGACAAATTAAATAATTTGGAAAAATGTTTAAACTCACATAATCAGTTTGTTTTTAATTAATTGTTTTAAACAAGTGTCAACATCCTGGATGTTTGTTTTACAAAAAGGTATTGTAAGGTAGCTGCTAGGCTATAACTTCTTTACACAATTCTTTGAATACAATGGAACTTTCTCAGGTAAACAATTTTTCCATAGAAAAATTTAGAATAGATTTTGATATCTCGATCTGGTCCTTCACTTCTATCGAAGGTCATTATAACTAAAATTGCAGTGTATATATTCTGATGCACTTCCATTTTACTGCATCTCAAGTTCATCATAAGTAGATTCCACTATATACTGTAATTATCATACTGACTCAATCAGTTTTTAACTAAACTAAGCTTAGTGCTCTTCAGTTGCAAAGCCAAGGATTTTGTGAATCTGGCTCTGTTGAGCATGAAGTTGTGGTTAGAGTTTTTAGTAGTTAATTTAAAAATAAATGCACAGGTGTTTCTGAATTGTAGAACGAGACACACAATCAAACAGATATGGTAATATGCTAAACTAGAACCTAGCTTGTTGAATTCAGTCACTTTTTTACTGAGAAAACATTAACACTGATTGTAAGAAAAAAAAATCCTATTAATTTGTAACAGTTCCAGAGCAGTTCTGTTAGAAATTTTTAGGAAGACATAGTCCCTGATGCGAAGAGCTGAGAATCTGAATTGGATAGATAACACAAACCAAAATGGTTCAGATGTGAGAGTGGCTGGAAACAGCACTAGGAAGCAGATCATTGTTGAAAGGCTAAGTGGAAGAAATGTTGGAAGAGGAAAGGGAAGTCACTTAGCACAGAGGAAGAAGGAGGCTATTCATGTGCAGGGAACTGAGTAAAAAATGTAAAAGACTAGAGTAAGAGAATGAACAGTCACTTCAAATAAATTACAAAAGGGTACCATTAACTGTCCTCTGGTATTTCTACATACCACAGTGGTATCTAAGCTCTCTGGTGGCTTTTTACTATCAATTCCAGGAGAACTAGTTTCTCTTTTCAACTCAGCCTCTGATATACCAGAGCCTAACTGGATGTATCCTAGTTTGAAAATGTTGGCCTCAACCTCTCTGTGTATCAGTTTCCCCAAATACAGAATGGAGATGATGATGATTCTCGTCATTGTAGAGCCCTTTGTCATCCTTGGTTACATTGGATTTAGCTATGATGAGGATTAATTATATTTTTAAAATATTATATTTTTTTCATGTATAATGATCATAATTCCTGATCCACTGCCTGTGGAGTGGATCAGGAATTATTAACCCGCAGCACTAGTGGACCTGAACATGCTAATCTAGCACCCCTGAAACAGAGTTTTGCTGAAAGCTGCAATGCGTTGCTTCCCAACTTAGCTTATTATAGATCAGGAGCAATTATGGGTAAGAGCCAGATAGGAGAAATAGCAGAGAAAAGAACCAATCAACAGTGATAACCCAATAAACTTAAGGAAGACATCAGGTGCAAACCTCTAATTAATATCTGAGCAACATGAGCAGCAAAGAAGACACATCTGTGTCTCACTTAAATCCATGGCTGAAAATGCTGGGAAAGGCTTGTCTATACTACAAAATGTTATTGTGTTTTACCAAATGTTACTGTGCTTGAACACATTTGTAGAGAATTAAGTTAGCTATGTGATGCTGACCATGACTGTATTATCAGCATAGACCCAGATAAATCATTGAATCAGTTAGGTGACATGATGCTGAACATGATTTGTTCTAGTATGTCCTTAGCACAAAATTGTCTTCAGCACCAAGTCAGCTAACTCAATTCTTCACAAGTGTTTTCAGACTCGGCAACGATTTATCAACAAGCCCTAAATGCAATCAAATGCAAAGTGAGGGGGAAAATCTATTACATTTCCAAATGAAGGCAATCTAAGATAAATAAAGCCCTTAGTTATAGAGATGTATTTTAATCCCTGTCTTTCAGTACAGTAGTACAAATTATGAGATAGCAGGATTAAGCCATCTCTTCCCATTTTCAGTTGTCTTTGTGATGCCTCTAGGATTGCTGCAAAGGTGGATTTAAAGTGCACTGGGTAAGTTACTTAATGGCTGTTGCGGTTGCGAAGAAAGTACGTGTTAAGCTGCAGCTCAGTGTTCTTGCTCAGGAAGAGGTGTTAGCAAGACATCGGCGGTAAGCTGGACACTCTGGGGAAACTGGGAGTACCTTAGACTTGATTTGTGAGAGCTGGTGGTTTAAAAACATGGGAACTTAAGTCAGTGAATTTCATTTGAGGACAGCTCTGACAAGAGGACATAAAAGTCCATGATCTTTGCAGGTTTGGTGACTGAACATTTTATTGGTAATGGGAGGCCTTGGAAATCAGTGGGAGTTAGTGGTTTTACTCATTTACTTTTTCTGTAATTCAGTATATGTTTTCCAATCTTTCTACATGTTAAATAGTAATGGCCACATTCATCCCTTGTGTAGCTCCACAGGATGAATGTGTTTAGTGTTCGGAAAAGTGTTTCATTCAAAGGACAGATTTGGATGGGGGGAAACAGGTGGTATTCCCACAATAAAAAAGCAGGCTCTGACTACAAAGTAAGCTCTACGTACATGAGAAACCACCCTGTCATAAATATAAAGGGAAGGGTAACCACCTTTCGGTCCACAGTGCTATAAAATCCCTCCTGGCCAGAGGCAAAACCCTTTCACCTCTAAATGGTTAAGAAGCTAAAATAACCTCGCTGGCACCTGACCAAAATGACCAATGAGGAGACAAGGTACTTTCAGAGCTGGAGGAGGGGAACAAAGGGTCTGTCTGTGTGTTATGCTTTTGCCGGGAACAGATCAGGAATGCAGCTCAGAACTCCTGTAAAAAGTTAGTAAGTAATCTAGCTAGAAATGTGTTAGATTTCTTTTGTTTAATGGCTGGTAAAATAGCTGTGCTGAATAGAATGTATATTCCTGCTTTTGTATCTTTTTGTAACTTAAGGTTTTGCCTAGAGGGATTCTCTATGTTTTGAATCTGATTACCCTATAAGGTATTTACCATCCGGATTTTTACAGAGGTGATTCTTTCACTTTTTCTTTAATTAAAATTCTTCTTTTAGGAACTTGATCGCTTTTTCCATTGTTCTTCAGATCCAAGGGTTTGGGTCTGTGTTCACCTATACAAATTGGTGAAGATTTTTATCAAACCTTCCCCAGGAGAGAAGATGTCTCCAAGTGGGCTCTTTCCCTGTTCTTTGTTTAACACGCTTGGTGGTGGCAGCATAGGGTTCAAGGACAAGGCAAAGTTTGTACCTTGAGGAAGTTGTTAACCTAAGCTGGTAAGAATAAGCTTAGGGGGTCTTTCATGCAGGTCCCCACATCTGTACCCTAGAGTTCAGAGTGGGGAAGGAACCTTGACACCCCCACAGTAGATTGTGCAGATGTTTAAAATTTGCTCAGGTATGCTGTCTGGTCTCCTTGGGCTTGGCTGCCCCTCACTGCAATCCGAATGCATCCATGGTCTCTGCTGGGGGGTTCCTTGTGTTTAGTTTTCCTTCCTTGAAAAAGCTCCCTTGTGGCGCCTGTATATTGTTCAGTTCTTCATCATATAATCCTCCCTCTCCTGTCTTACAGGCTTTGCTGAGAAATGAAATAGTTAATTTTAATTTTTTTTTATCATCAGGTATCTGAGTTAGCACCCTTTGAGATGTTATGATGTCAGGTTCTACAACATAGGTAGATGTCTGTGTGTCAGTTATACTCAGGTCATGTTTTCAAGATTAAATTAGCAACCATAACAGCTAGAGACTGTTTTTTTAATGAAAGCTTAGATTCTGAATCATAAGAAGGCAGCATGAAAAAGGTGCTGACACACCATGCTAGCATGTACTGATTGAGTTTAAGCCCTGGTTACATTTCTGTTTTGTGACTTTAGGCAAGCTGTTTGTTTCCATTTGTAAAATGAGAATGATACTTACCCACCTCTGTAAAGTGCTTTGAAATGAATAGATGAAAAGCCTTCTAGAAGTTGAAAATTTCAATAATAATTTTTATTACTATTAAATCTTTGTTTGAATTCATCCTGTGGAATGACTTTTATTTTCTGTGAAACCATATAAATAAATTGTGCATGATATCATTGGGTTTCCATGACTTGTATAATAATATTTATGGCAAAATTATTACAGAGCTAGCCTACAAATTGTACTCCTGTGGGCATTCTGTGCCAAAAAATAAACAATTCTGGGCACAATGTTTTAAAATTCTGCAAATTTTATTTGTCAAAATGACACTACATAATCATGTCACTTTCAATTATTTTGGTAATTTATTTCAAAATACCAGTCAGCGAGTATGTCTGTAACAATACAGACACACAATTTCCCCCCCAGGAGTAGAGAGTTAAAGAAACCCCTATGACAACCCATTTCCTGTTTCTCTGTCCCGTTCTCTCCTTTCCCGAGCCCAGCCAAGGGGCCAGACACCCACAACCTCCACCCTTCCCCCCCCCCCCCCCCGAGGCCAACTGTAGGGCGCCCCCCAGCTAATACACCCGAGCCCAGCTGCAGGTTCCCCCTAGCCCAGATGCCTGCACCCTCTCACCCCAGAGCCCAGCTGCAGGGCCTCCCCTTGCCCACATACCCACACTCTTCCCCCCCCAGAGCCCAGATGTGGCTCCCCCCAGCTCAGACACTCTCCCCCCCCGAGCCCAGGGATCCAGAGGGAGAAACAACCTAATGCTCAGTCCCAGGCTTGCGTGGAGTTTCCTGCATGCCACCCTGTCCTTCCCTCAGGGTGCGCTGAGAAC